TTCAAATCACACAAAGTCAAGGCTAGTCAAAACTCAAACTTGACTTGATGATGATAAGTCTTAAATTCAAACAGACAAGTCTTTAAATTACTCCACGGGGAAAAAATGCAAACATGAAAAAGATGAACACAGACAGATCTCGTGCATATCAAATAAAAGCAGCAGATCAAACACGGCACTTGTGTCCCAGAACAAACCCTAAAAATAGAATCCCGAGAAAAGCACGAAAAGAATCAAAATTGATGTAACAAAAAGGATACGAAGCTTATAAGCTCGCTTGGTGGTCATGACGGAAACGAAACCCTTGAAATGGTGGACATTCAAATTACACTCTCATCAACCATACCAAAACAAAAAAAAATCCCTCAAGATCTCCGCTTTCTCAACCGCTGAACCAATCTGAAATCTCAAACGGGAAACAGATCAAAAACCCAGAAATCATTTCTGGGAAAGATACAAAAACGAAGCCTTTAGGAAATGGAGGCCGTACCCAGCAAAAAAAGGGCTTAACTTTCTTCTTCCAGAAACGCCAATCTCACTCTACTCCACGAAAAATTCAAAAAACGAATTTGGTGAAGTGAAGAAATGAAAAGGGTTGATGAGGATTTGGGGAAATATGAGAAAGGAGAAGTTTTTTTAAGGAATAGCGAGAGAAAAATCTGACTCGGAACTTCGTTGTTGTCTTAGAAAAGAAGAAAATCTGAGGAGAGAAGTTGAAAGTGATTTCACTTTTCTCCAATGGCGAAGTAAAAAAGGAGAGAGAGATTGACAGAGAGCAGAGCACAAGGAAGAAGAAGAAGAAGAGAGAGAGAGAAGCAAAAAGGGAGGCGCAGAGAGAGAGAGAAAGAGAGATACTTTTTTAACCTTTGGCTACTACTTCTACGTCTTCTTTCTTTTAGTTTCTTCTCCCTCTTCTCTCTATTTCAAATTCCAAAACCATTTTTTCATTTAACTTTTGGATTTCCTCATTTTTCATGCATCTTGCTACTACTTACTACTATTCACATTTACATTTACTAGGAAGAGAACAAATTATTAAACTTTACCATTATTGATTCCTCATTTTTGGATTGTCAGAATTTAAACCATGATGTTTTATATTTTGCATCACTACTCACTAGACACCAAACTTGAATATATTAGGGATAATATTATTATCCCACATTGGAAAGGACAAGAAATCTTGACTAGTATATAAGATATATGAGCCTCTCCACTCATTGCCAATTGGTTTTGAGTTGGAAGCTCATATACTAATATGGTATCAGAGTCCGATCCGTACATGTCCAAATCCAATCCACCATCGGCCCGGCCCAATAGTTGGCCCGCCGATCCATGCCCGAGCATACCGAAATCAATGGCTAGAGCCATCATCTCGAATGGGCGTATTACGGATAATATTATCCCACATTGGAAAGTACAAGGAATCTTAACTAGTATATAAGATATATGAGTCTCTCCACTCATTGCCAATTGGTTTTGAGTTGGAAGCTCATATACTAATAGAATATCTATTCCTTTTTTTTTCATTTATTATTTGGTTATAAATAAATTTTTGATACAACATTATATCAAAATAGTAATAAAAATAAAATATTATATGGCATCACTTGAAAACTATACTATTATACTATATTATTATTTATTTTTTTCAAACAAAATATACAATTTGGTTCATACAAAATATTTAATCTCGTGCTGTATAGCACGGATCATGATCTAGTTTGATGTATTTAACCAATCAGACAAACGGATACAACCATTCATTCAAATAAATGGTTAAAACAAAGCGGTTTGTAGTACAACCATCCGTTTAGTAAATCGCGGTTCGATATTCCTAATATACAGTTTAAAAAAAACGTTAGTAATCATTTTTGATCTTCTTTGAGTGGTAATGATAGTCATTTTTCAATATGTTACTCTTCTTAAAATCAATATAGAGTAGGTATGTTCATTGTATAGCTGTTTTAGTAAAGATTTCGAGGAAAAAAAAAGCATTTGTGATATAAATCAAACCAATTCTTTAAGTGTTCATCGTTCAACATATTTTTGGGAATTCATGGTATCATATGAGACGTTCTAAAAAATTATCAATCAAATAGGCATTTGAATCATGTGGTGAAAATCGATGCTTAAATGTTTATATGAACACTTTGAGAATGGGTAATGAAAATGGAAGATTTCTACTGGAGGTTATGCAAAAATGGTTTGGTTATCAATTAATTGTTGTACATAGAGTATATTCAGTGGAAAAGAAAATAGATTGTATGCACAAAATATTGTACTTTTGCATATCCAAAAATAGTTTTTTTTAATCAATAAAAGACTTAAAAAGGGGAGACATTGCACAACTGAATTCCCGGTTTGCAAATTAAATCCTTAAGAAAAAGTTTTGACCGAATTTTATATAATTGAATTATGAAACTACTGTCGGTGCTATAATGGAAAATGACAATGTAATCATTAATAGGTGATTATTGCTTAGATGTTAAATAATTTATTATCATGGACCCTTGTCGAAAAGTTCTAAAATTTATGTAAATAAATGTTCCAGTAATAGTAGTATTTCGTTTTGTCGATCTCATGTCTTAACATAGGAAAAAATCGTCAAAAGCAATTATACAATTATCATAACTTATCGGTTTATGTATTACATCAACTATTTTATTTTCCAAGGTATCTAAAACAATTTTATTGATAACGTAGTGTGGGGATAAATAAATTAGCGATCCAATAGCAAAGTAAAACTTTGTACATAATGAAATAGTGACATTGGATAGACCAACGTTGGATAGACAAAAAATAATGGTGAAAGGTTTGGCTTGATTATAACGGACTACCTAATTTTATGGGGGCCATGAGAGATCCCATACAATACAAGTACACAAACTCAAACTCTAAAAACAATTTTTTTTTTTTTTTTGTTAAAGGGCTTTATTTTTGGCAGCATTAAAAATATAAATAAAATAATAACATTAATTTAGTTAGTAAAAGAGTTAATTTACAGTGTTTTAATTTATATTTTTTGTTGTAATGTTTTTAATATTAACCCAAATTAAACTCATAATCTATTTGGAACGGATTTTTTTTTTGAGCAAAAAAACTAGGGATTAGTATACTACTTTCTCCGTCATTGATGTTCTAGAACTAGGGACCTTGATTTAGTGTTTGCAATGTATAATTAAGTAGAATTGACATGTTACATTATTTACTTAAAACTATTAGGAAAACCAAATTAAAAATAATGTTTGTTTTTTTTTATTTTGTTAAAGAAGAAATTCATTAGGTGGTAGAAATTAATAACGTAACATCAAGAAAACTACTTTATGCATAGATGTTAATTATATAAACATTCGGTATGATAAAGTTTTTAATTTGGAAGATGATTGTAACAACTTTTAAAGACAAGATTACAGTAACTAGAAAAATAAAAATGACAGCCTAAATTTTGTAATAGAAACCTACAATTACGGGGATATATAAGCGTTTTGACTTTCAAAGTTGAAATTACTTTGTCCCTCGTTATAAATTTGGCTGCTTGCTTTTGAAAGTGCACAATGCACTCACTCGCTAATTAAAAAGCTAAATCAATCATTGCCACCATGGTATTGCCTGGCCTTGGCCTAGATGTGCTGTCACTAAATCTGAGTTTTGTAATCCAATTATTTTATTATTTATATGCAAGCTCGAATATCCACTCCAATTTTTATACAAATCTTTTTATAAACGTTGAACTTTGGAAGACGTGATACATGGACGTGTTAGTACGTTAGACTAGATCAAGCAACCATAATATTCCTCACAAAATCTAAACATATTACTAATAAGTTTTGTTTATTTTTTTTCTAAAGAATAATGACAAACTCGTGACATCTATGATGAACTTGTTTACCTTACGAAATCTCACTTTGACTATGCTCTCTACCTACAATATCTTGTTTTCGACAAGTCTTTCAAGTTTATGAAAATAGCAAAACCAAAGCGGGCAGAGAGATCTGACCCACGAACGAAAAACGGGCGAAACGTTACAAGTACAAAACAAATCCACTTTATATGTATTATTTATACTTTCTCTTCCTACATACATTTCGACCAGAAATTTTTTAGTTTGATTGGTAATCCTGTTTGAGGCGCTAATTAGAGGTGAACCGCTTCCGGGATGATCAACTGGACAAACGGATGGAACGTACAATCAAAACAAACAATTCAACTAGACGGTTGATACACGCGGTTAAAAATTGAAACAAATGGTTGAATACATAAAATATATGGTTTACAATCACATGTCTACCAAATGAACGTTTCAATCAAATCGTTTTCTCGTACTGATTTTTGACCGCCAACAAATTCGTAACCACTTTCATTGGTTACAAGGTTTCAAAGACTAACAATCGTAGCTAGATCATCTCCTAGATCAAATGCGATTGATGACGACTACACATCTAGATTGCATTCTCCCCTATCTCGCTAGGACAAATGCGACCACAATATGAAGTAGCATAAAGATCACTACTAATTCCAAAACCACGAGGCTGCTGAATTCACAATTACTAGAAAAGACAAAAGAGAGGAATGACAATAGTTTACCTTTGATTCCAAATCAAACATTATATATGCTAAAGACACCTGAACCAAACAGAGACAACACGGATTTGCATCGGAAATCATCTGAATACCTACGGAACTGAATCCCTAAGACTCATGAAAATACAAGCCACACTGACACTATGTAACATCTCAAGTGCTAACTCAAAATCTTGTAGAAACTCTAAGCTCTAATCCCTAATCACCTTACCACCGTGATCAAGATCCAACCTATTCGATTCAAGAAATTTCATTGATGCTAGTCTCAAACTCCAAACCTAGTTATCCCAAGTTGGATCTTGATCTTGACATGGAAGAGTTTGAAACAAACGCAGCCTAAAATTACCCTTACGAATCAAGAAACCACATCAAGATCCAACTTTTCGTTTCTTATCTAACAATAAGAAACCAATAAAAAGATCAAATCAACATCAATAGGAAGTGAAAAAACCCTTATGTATATGATTTGCTATAGGTATACACATCACACTACATACAAATCATTCTCCATTCCCAGATTCCAGTAACCACAACAAAGACAAATATTTGCCTTTTATTGGTTTAATCACTACTGATCAATGAACTCAAACTCATCTTCCTTAAGATGTGCAACAAATTTAACAGGACCACGACCTTCAATTTCTTTGAAGAACTCAACCTTATAAGGAAGATTAGCTGAGATTCGTTTCCCTTTCCAAACAGCGACGTAATCTTTGAGTTTACCTTCCATACCTTCCAAATCAACCTCCGCTACTCGATTTACATGATAAACCTTCAACGGAGCTGTTACTTTAACCCTAGATCCTATCTTCGCCTTCGCTTCCGCTTCGATTTCTTCCTCTGTTGACGGTGAAGATGATGGATTGGCGTCTGCGTTCACCGAATCAGCGGATTTTATCGCTACATCGCATCGAATCGTGAATATTCGAGAAGTTTTTCTTGAGCTTGAGTGTTTGATTCGAGATTGAGAGGTGAATAGCGAGAGAGGTGCGAAGATGCAAGATTTGAGCGCCATGGCGGTGGTAGTACTAGTGGCGGAAGCGGATAGACAGTCGTGAGATGATGGAGGTCTAACGGCGGCGGCGATTGCCGGTGACAAAGCGACGGGGCTACTCATCTGAGTCCGAGTCTGAGAGAGAGAAGAAAATGTGTTTGAAGATTGGGCAAGTGGAAAATACTGTTTCCTTAATAATTTTTTTTGTTCCGTTATTTGCTACCACCTTCTACTAATAAATTTTGCTTCGCAATTTTTAAATTTATTAAAATTTGACCATTGATATATATGTTTATTTTTATTTTGTTAATAAATTTTTTTTTTGAAAAAGAATTTTTTAATAATTAATACGATGAATTTTTTTTTAATTAGTAAAGCTATCAATGATTTACTACCGAATTCATCACTAGAGTTAAAGCGTGTTATCATTTTGACTGATCAGATGAGAATGAAGGAATACAGAGTGAAAATCAAATGAAAGAAAAGAAATTAACGTCATGCACGATGAAGAATTGATGCCAAAATATGCATTTTTTTCCTTTTTATGTCAAATTTACATATTTATCTGGATGCTATTTGAATATGATTTTTTTTTTTTCCAAATGAAACAAATCAAGAAACGTGTGAATGATAAATATATGCAGGCAAAGAAAAATATGTGAATGAAACGGATAAGTAAGGTTTTAAGAAATTAAAAGGATAAGAGTGAATACTAACAAGTGAAAAGGAAAGGGAGAAGAAGACACAGCGAGAGAAACAAGTCAGAACTCAGACGTGTGTCCTTCCGTTCACGGGATAAGGAACGTGCGGCTTCTACTAAATCCAACTGTGATGCTTGAAAGTTCCGAGTCAGACACAAAGAATCTTCTGTATCACTTCAATATCTTTAAACATCATATTCTTTATTGGACATCATATATTTCATTACTGATCGACAAATTCAAGCTAAAAAAAAAACGAGGAAATGAAAACACACAAATCGTTGTAGGAAACACATACACAGTACATATATAATTCAAAACACACAAAAAAAAGGGCAAAAGAATATACAAAGGGGTTTTAGAGTTTTAGGGAACTTATAGCACATAAGGATGTACTGGTATACTCTCTCATGTTACTTCTTTTATCACATAGATGAGATAATAATACTTACCCGTAAACTTGACGCCGACAAAAACAGAAAACAATTAAAAGAATTCAAGATATATAAACATCCAAACTCTCTCTCATTCTCCATCCTCACAATTTGGATGAGATTAATTAACTATGAATGTCGTCCAGGAGCATTACCGATCAGTCTGCATTGTTCAGGTAGCATTGTCGATATCACTTCTCCATGCAACGCAAACAGCTCTCCGTCTATACCACAACTGTCATGTGTATTTTTTCCCGCTTTTATCTTCACCGATTTCACCTGCAATTGTCATGCATTTTCATCAACTACATTCTACTCTAGACTTAAAATATTTGCATTGAGTTTGACCGTTTGATTAGCATTTCTTAGCACATCCCGAGTTGCAGAAACAGTAAAATAAGAAAATAGACAATTTACCTTTACACACTCGACATATGGAAGAGAAAGGTGTCGACCTGTTTGCAGAAGTATGAAAAACCTCAGCAACCTCAGTCTTCCACACCCATGAACCAAGAGCATGTCCATTGTACCATCGTCATGTTCTGAATTGGGAGCCACGACTTGAGAACTCTGCACAGTCCGACAAGCATGGTTACAGACCATGATGCCGAGGAAATGTCCCTTTCTCGAAACCCATTTATCCTCAAATATTGGTGTGATGCTCTGCTTCCTCAGTCCAGTCTCTATATCCTCAGGAGGACCAGGCAGCTCGATCGAGTTTTCTACATCCCAAGCAGACGGTTCAGTGTCCCATTTGGGTCCTGCATCCCAGATCGGACCTGGATCAGATACAGTAGATGATATATCTTCCCTGTCATGACCACCGGTATTTCCCCATGAACATCGAGTTGGAGGATCCTGCACAGATGTTAACCCCATCCATCCTTTATCCATTCTTGACTTTGACCTTGTCCTTGGCCAATTAGGGGTTGTTGACTGTGCTTGAGGATGAATAACCTCTGGCTCAGCCGTAACATCTTTTCTTCCAGAGGACATGCGTTTCATTTTAGGATCTATTCCACGGACATATTCAGACGGCTCAGTGCTGGCATGTGTGCTGCTACACGTGTCTACTTCGCCTAAGCTTGGGGTCATTATGGAGTCAATACTTGATAAACTAGAGGCTCTAGGGAATCCTTCTCTGCTTGATCTCCTCATTACATCCGTGTAGAGATCTTGCATATCCATCGCTTCCTTTTCAAGTCGAATTTTGCCTTCCGCATCCTCTTTTTGTGCCGGAAGATATTCCACTTCATAGCTATACTTTGGCAAACACATGAACTTGAGGAATCCAGCAACAAAGTAACGCAAAGGACCAAACCTTTTTTGGTATTTTTCAGAGAGCTCCAAAACTGCAAACACAGTTTTAAACCATGAATTCAGTTATAGCAAGTGAATGCCACACAAATTATACAGTATTCATGAAGGTACTATTGTGTGCAAAAGAAATACTTCACAGCAAAAATCCTGATCGTCAAACACGAGACAGCGTCCATAGCTCAAACTAATACATCAAACACACATTGGAACTGTTAAAGAAATGGAGAGAGATTTCCAGCCTTTTGAACAAGTTCAATGTATTATATTTAATCCATAATATGTTTGAATAACTTGGCTATTTGCAGCTTCTAACTCATCATCAGAAGAGTGCATATTTCTGCAATATGCTATGAAATAAAGTGTATTGAGAGTCAACAACTCAACATAGTGTTCACACTGTGACAATTGAAATATATAAAAGATAAACTGAAAAACTACTGTGAGGAAGATTAAAAAAAATCTCCTCTAAAATGCATGAAAGATCTAAACAGTTGCAGAAACGGTGAATGAAACAAAGAAGATAGGAGGAATACAGAATCAAAATTAACTACACTTGAGAAACCGTTTATCATTGGAAAATCATACAAGACAAAGCACACAGGTACTCTCACTTACCATCGCTAACAAAACCATAGTAGGATACAGTCATTCCAAAGTGTATAACACCGGTATGAATCCATTCAACAGCAAAGACATCAGTAGCTGTTAGGCCACCCTAAACCAAAAAAATATTCCTTTAAGCTGAGAAAACAGTAACTAAGCAGAAGCTAATTAATTTTGGTGGCAGGATAAAACAAAGCAGGGACAAATAGGATTTTAGGCAGTAGTACCTTTACAATAGATAGTGCTGCAGAAATAGGATCTCGTACACCAAGGACAGTCCAAACTAACGAGTTATCAGAACCAGCAGGTACTATTCCAATTGGGATAGAAACTCCTTCTTTCTGATTGCTTCGAGTAAGTAGACCATTAAGAACCTGCGACATTGAAATTAGGCAGGCCACGAGATGGATTTAATTGCAAGTAATAGAATCTAGGAGATGTTAACATCGAAAGCTGTCTTTTGCATGCATCTTAGTCTACCTAAAGAGTTCTACATCAATCGAAAATCAATAGTGAAAGCTCTCATGAGTTTCAACTCGAGCAAGTATTTCCCTATAAGATGCATCCCAAAGTCCTCGCTCAAGAGGATAAGAGTTACTAAACTCTTAAATTATTCAGCATGCTTGCAAAGTGGTGTGAGCACGCTGAAATAAGCCAATATAGTTCTATTATAATACTAAAATTGAATCAATAAGGCACCAGGGTTGTAAGCAGATAAGAAACAGGAAGTATGGTATAACAGGAACATCAGTTCTTGAGCTTAACTCCCAAAGAAAATACGGAAGAAAATGAGTATAGTTTAGGAAGGCTGATTATCATACCTCATTGATGATTCCATCACCTCCAACACAAATAATACCTGAAAGAATTTTAAGAACTCGTAAATACTAGAAGCTAGATATGTTAAACATATCATTGAGTGGTGGAACAAGCAGTGATACCGTCTGAGCACAAGTTAATGTCGACAGTGGAAGCCAACTCTCTCGCGTGACCTGCTTTAGTTGTTTTGACAACCTCCATCTTAACCCCGGCCAGCTGTGACAGTTTACAAAATCATAGACAAGATAATAAGAAAATGCATAATGGGATCGGAGAAATGGATTTGTTCTCTAGGGTACCTAAAAGTGAAAAATAATGTGTTGATGTAGGACTACGACATCCAAAAAGAACAAAAGGATGGAAATGGTACCTTGAAAATTGGCTCCACTACATTGTGGAACACTTTGATAGATCGTCCATGCCCTGACCTAGGGTTCAATATGACAAGCATTTTGGGTGCACTCTTACACCTGAAGACCAACTCGGGAGGAGTATCGACGGGGACCGAAAATAACTCAGATGAAGCCTGTTTCTTTGAGACTAAAGGATGTGGTAAACAGTTGATAAAACATTGTTGGTCTCCAAAACTGGCCACCCATTGAACTGCTTCTTCAACTGTAGGTGCGACAAAGCGGAAATCCTTGCGGCTTCTCTTTGGTTTCGTGAAGCAAGACAGGCCACAAGAAACCTTTCCAACTGGATAAGCATGCACAGTGAAATGCCTAAGACCAACATTGTATGTCACCTGGAAAACATAGATAAGTTTGTTGACTCAGTTCTCCAATACACAGAGTTAATAAGTTCATTGCAAGGCCAACAAAAACCTACCGAGACAACATCGTTAAGCTGTAGCATGTCAGAACCCCAAACCAAAGCGCTGCTTGTAAGCTTTGCATCAACTGCTTTTTTATTAGAGACGTCTGTGGCAGATGGTTGCTGTATCTCTGTAGCATCTTTCCCACTCGCAGATTTCCTCTTATCCAATACAAGCTTCCCGGCGTAAACAAGACTACCTAACAAATCTGATTTCTCATCTCCTCCACCAATATCAATCCGATGCTCATCAGGTTTCGGTTTCACCTGTGGATCATTAGTAACCTCACCACGTCTCGAAGATGCCTTCACCTTCTTGCTTCTCTTTTCAGGGAATACCACAGGAGATGACTGCTGAGATGCGCCAGTAGCTATTTGAGAGCAAAACCCTAAACGCCTAAGCGACTGTTGTGCCTGAGGAATGGCTACTCTTAAAGAAGGATTCCGATTTACACCACTCTTCTGCATATCCGTAAGCTAATAATCTCTCTGCTCTTGAGTTCCGCGGACGAAACAGACGACAAACAGTGATCGGGAGGCATACACAAAACAAAAACCCCTAAAAACTCCTGATGAGCACAAAACCAATCAACCTTGTTCGAGCTGGTCAACGAACAAATTTCAGAGAGAATTACGCAGCGAAGCCATTTCTAATCCGTAGCTATATATCAGATCCGTCAACGCGTTTTTCAGAAAATTTTCCTGTAACAAAATTCATGGCATGGATCGATATATATGCAGCATTTGATCGAAATTCAATCAAAATAAGAATACTATTCAACAGATCATGCGGAATCGGAAGCAAATGATAAACGAATCTGAAAAAAAATCGTCGACAGAGCTTGCTTTAGCTATTATTCGTCTTACCTTAGCTTCACGGCGAACAAAAATGGAGACGGAAGTGTAGCAAAAGTAACGCCGCCGGATCGGAGGATCTGAGAAGCGTCAGAATTGAAGAGAGGTGGCGGAGAGAGAGAGAGAGAAGAAGAAGAAGAAGAAGACGATAATGGCGGAGGAGATGATGACTCGACTCAATTCGATTCGATTTTCGATTGGATTCAACTCGACAGCAGAAACCTATGGCCCCCTCCTTTCGGATTTATTTCCACTACAGAACCTTTTTTTGGACTTCTATTTTCCATATTTTTATTGTTATTTAAATTTTGTTATTATATTTGTTACTTTAGTGGCTATGTTTTTAAAATTAATTTTAACTTTTTATATTTCAATAATTTATTCTTGCAATTGCTTTATTCCTAAGATTTTTTTTTAAATCTCCTCACTTTTAATATTGTTTTTAGTCCTAACATTATATTTCTATATTTAGTAGGTAAATTTGAAATTTCAGAGAAAGTTTATAGTAATTAGATTTGAATTTGTTTCCTTGTTTATAAAATGAAAAAAACAATGTTATTTAACTTCATTAAGATTATATATATTTATATATTATTCAACTCTAGTGTAAATTTAAAATTTATCTATAATTAAATAGAAACCTTAATAAGTAACAAATTCGATTTATCATCCCGAAACTCTAAAAATCCATCTAAGATAAATCATATAAACCATAATTTTGATAAATATCTATTTATGGAAATGATTTAAGGAAATTTTATATATAACAAGGCTAACATCATGAATCACATAAATAAATAAATATATATATATATATCAAAATTCTAATTGTTTTAAAAAATTAATGTGATATTTGAGATTATTTATCAATTAGATACAACATCAAACGTAAATATTTTTTTTTATCTTGGCATTTGAACAAAAATAATTAATTTTATTGATGCTATGTATTAAACATTAAAAAAAAAAGAACATCAATATGTGGATTTACATTTACAGATGTAAAAACGATGACAAGTTTACTTATAATCAAAATAAAAGAACTTGTAGATATATGAAAACACATTTTAAAATACAAAACATGATTTAGAAATTATATATGTAACTCTATGTAAGGGGGTGTTATTCAATGGTGGAGTTAAAGTCAATTCTTTAAGGTTTAGATTTGTTTTCTGATATTGGTTTTAAGAATCTGTTTATGTGGATTTCAAAATCTCTGCAGTATATCTTGGATTTTGATTCTAATGATTTACTCATGAAACTCCAAAGAGGTTTCATTTGAAATGACTTAATATACAAAGATTTTACAAGTCTTTTAGTTTTGAATAACACTGGATTTTACAAACCTTAAAGAATTGACTTTAACTCCACCATTGAATAACACCAAACTTTTAAAATCTAATGAAGTATAAGATCTAATAACACTAGATTTTAACGTTAGATTTATAATCATTAGTTGAATAACACTGGATTTCAATTCTATTAAAATCCATCATTGATACAAAAAAAAAAAAAAAATCTAAGTGACTGCCGACTGGTGACATAAAACATAATTCTAAGTGTAGACACTATACACTACATAAACATAATTTAGAAATTGCCATGATATTGACAAACAAAAAAAAAAAAATTGCCATGATATAACCTAATTCTATTAAAAGAAAAATTCAACACCTAAAATCACCGACTTTCACATTATCTGTATATTTGATAAATCATTTTTAATTTTCTTATATTCTTTACAAAAAGAAACAGCTATTTTTTTTCAAATAAACAATTTAAAAATTATTAAGAAAGTCAACCACCGTTACACCAAATTTAGATATGATATATATATTGGTGACGAACTACTACTACGATTTGTAGATGTTTATTTGATGCCGAATATTCTGAAAATAACAAAACAAATTTCCTAAAATTGTTTAGCTTAGGCTTAGCTGTCAATATTTTCCTAGCTTGATTAAATAATTAGCTTTCAGAAAACGATGATGCTATGTTAGTATGGTTTAGCTTAAGTAATGACCTTATAATTAAAAGGATGATTAGAGAAGGATTAGTGGAAGAAGTTGGTAGATGGGAAGATGGTCCCGACCATTGTTGCATAAACAAGTCAAATAAAACTTATTAAAGTGGAAAAATGTTATATATTGGTTTGGTTCATTCAATTTAGAAATTTTTTTGATGTGGTGACCAACAGACAAGTGATGCTTCGTTAAGAAGAATTGTTAAAAGAGCATCTTCTTCTTATTATAAAAGCTTGGGACATCTAAAGGCATTATTGCTTTATGTTTTTGTATTACTTAAATAAAGTTTGGAATGATAACGATAATGATGCAATTAATTCTTTGTCATACTCATTGTAGTGTCATGGTAGATTGTAACACGTCTTGTGCAAATCTTTTGAAAGTTATAAAGAGGATTAGCTTAACTTTATGGAAATTTGAGAAATACGCATATTCCAACTCTGAGACAAATTCTGTAAATATATTATAGATCAGAAACTAATAATGTTAACTAGATTTTAATTTATTTTCTAAAGTTAGTATATATAAAATTTTGCAAATTGTACCTCCTTATAAAATATTTTTATTTTATAATTTACAATTGTTATTAATTAAGTAACAGTATACCACGAGTCCACGAGACAATTGTTAATAAACTGAGGATTTAACTGGTATTAAAGCGGTATGTTAATGATATTTTAAAATTTTATAAATATTAATTCAAACCCGTCCGTCATATAACCCGTTCCGAAATATAACCTGTCCCGTGATTTGTTTTCTAAAAGTAGTGATTTTAAAATTTAATAATTATTTATTATATATAAAAATTTACAAATTGTTTCATTCTCTAAGACATTTATATTTTAATAAACTGAAGATTTAATATGAAATAAAACGGCATGTTATTAATATTTTAAAATTTTATAAATATTGATTCAAACTCGTCCACCCTATAACTCCGTTCCGAAATATAACCTAAACTGTAATTTCTTAACATGTCCCGTGATTTTTTTCTTCTAAAAGTAGTAATTTTAAAATTTTCAAAAAGTAGTAATTTGTTTTCTGAAAATAGTAATCTCAAAAAAATAGTGATTTGTTTTCTAAAAGTATTAATTTCAAAAACCTGTCCCGCCAAACCCGTCCCGCCAAAAACCTATTTATTTTATTAATGTTGATCTTATTTATGATATGATTATCGACTAAAATCCGTCCCGTCTAAATATTTTAGTCGATGTGTTACGTTGAACACACATTTTTCGTCAATTAGCTAATATATGTCTATTTTTAAAATTTTGAATCACAATATATGCAGAAAAAAAAATTGGTTCTTTTTCTACTCTATGTATTATACGATGATTCAAAACAATTAAAAACAAATCAAATAAAGATGATAGGGAAATCATAATTCTAAATCTTAATCAAATCTTCTAAATATCTAAATTATTAAATATGAAATATCCTGTGTATGAGTTGGATTAAATATAACCAGACTCAACAAATTTTTTATGATCAAAATTTGTAAACAAATCGGATATCTATCGTATTCAAATGTTTTTACCCCATCCGCTAAAAATATACTTCAAAAATATTAGTATAGATACTGATTTTATAGCTTAGAACGTATGATTCCGAAAATTTTATATTTTTCGTTGCAAGCAATTGGATAAGTCACGAGATATGCATATAAATGTTCCACATGTCTTTTACATGAATGTTTAGCAAAAAAAATTTGTCTTTTACATGAAATAACAAAATTGAAACATGTGTGATATTGTTGTTGAAAGATGTTGGAAAACTCTTATATATGGATTCAATGTGACAACATATTTAGCATTAGTGAGAAATGAACGATAAATTTTAAAACATAGTTGTGATATTTTCCTAAAATATTTTGATGTTAAATTAAAATATTTTCTGTATATTATTTTTGTTAAGAGATTTTGAGCTGAATATTTTAAGGATCTTACGTGAACTATATAGGCCCATTAAGGTTCAAAAGGCCTCAGTGCATCGAGTAAGTAACGAGGGTATAATCGTCAATTCGCAGGACAAGGGTTTTGGCGCGTCTAGAGAGACGGTGCTTTCGTAGAAAAAAAGGAAATTTCCATTGATTCGCCACTCTCGCCATTCTCTCTCTCTCTCTCTCTCTCTCTCTCTCTGTAAAACCCAAAGGCAGAGTTTTTCTTAGTGTTCAACAAATTTCTCAGCTTTCTTTCACTCTTTTCTCTCTAGGGTTTTAACAAAAGTCTGGTTTTTTTGACTCGATTTCATAAGCTTTTCAGGTGATTCTTGGCTGTGGGTCTCGATTAGTAGTTCTAGTAGAATCCGATTCGAAACCATGTCTCTTGTTGAAAACTCTTCTCTTGAACCACAATCCAAAAGACGTAAGATCGATACAGAGATCAAAGAGTCTCCATCTCGTAATTGCGAACACTGGTTCGTCCGCAACAAAATCTGTATCTCCTGCAATACAACACTGGACAAATACGATGGAAGATCTTTTGATTATCTCTACAAAGGAATGCATATGAGTCACGAAGCTTTAGTTTTTACAAAACGGGTCATCTCTCAAACCTCTTGGCTTGAAGACAAGAAGCTTCACTTAGTACTTGACTTGGACCACACGCTTGTTCACACCATTAAAGCTTCACAGCTTTATGAATCTGAAAAGTGTTTAACAGAAGAGGTTGGATCGAGGAAAGATTTATGGAGATTCAACAGTGGGTTTCCTGATGAATCATTGATAAAGCTGAGACCTTTTGTTCACCAGTTTCTGAAAGAATGCAATGAGATGTTCTCCATGTATGTTTACACAAAGGGTGGTTGTGATTATGCTCAGGTTGTGTTGGAGTTGATTGATCCGGAGAAGATTTACTTTGGAAATCGGGTTATAACGAGAAGAGAGAGTCCTGATTTGAAGACGCTTGATCTTGTGTTGGCTGATGAACGTGGGGTTGTGATTGTTGATGATAAGTGTAGTGTTTGGCCTCATGACAAGAAAAACTTGCTGCAGATCGCAAAGTACAAGTATTTTGGAGACCAATCTTGTTCATTTTCAGAATGTAAGAATAAGAGAGATGAGAGTGAGGAGAAAGGACCATTGGATATTGTTTTGAGATTCCTCAAGGATGTTCACAATGAATTCTTCTGTGACTGGTCGAGGAAAGACTTGGATTCAGTGGATGTGAGGCCGTTGCTAAAAGAGATTTCTTCGAGATGGAAGCACAAAGCGGAGGTTGTGGTTTGAAATTTAAGTGTTGATTCATTATTTATTATATTAGATATTGATGGTAGTCCTTATTGTAAAGGAGGTACGTTTAGGCGTTTAGAAAATGTAATAAGATATGACTTTTGATTCAGATTCAATCTATAATGCTTTACTGAAAAATGTATGCCGTTCTTATGGATGGTACTTACAGAAAATTACTCACAATAAGGATCGATGTTTCTGGTTCTAACAACATTTAGTGAGACAAGAAACATATAATGAGATTAAAACTTGAAATTGAAAAGTGATGCAGCTCTCTGCTCAGTCAACTTCCCAAAAGACAAAGAGCACCTTTGTGTTTCATCCTTGAGTACAATGATTAATGATGTTTGTGTTCTCCTCAATGTATGTACGTGAAACATCTCTGATTTGGAGACAGTCTTGTCTTGTAACAGAACAAACATGGATAGAGAAAAGAGTTATATCATGAAACTGAATTTTAGTCTTGAGTTTCCTTTTGAGCTCTTATAATAGGCATGAAGCAGTCTTAGCTACAACTTCCTCTTGCAGCTTCTTTCTTTCCATAAGCATCTCAATTCTTAACAAAAGCTTTGTACATGCAGATTCAATCTAGTAGGTTTTAAGTGCTTACGTTACGTTGTAATCATGTTGCACTACAAGAAATGTTGACATCATTAGCGCGGAATATCTGCTATCATACATATCACATAGCGAATTCACAAATGCTATGACATCGGCAGCCATCGTAGGGGTAACCCATACGATAGCATTGTTTTAACTGCTACAAAATTGACAAATACTATAGCGCATTTGACACGCTATTACGTATTCTCATATAGCATCTGTTTTTTTGTTATCGTATGTCATTGTACAATAGCTACTGTATATTGCGGTAATATATATTTGTGTAGCATCATATTTTGTGCTATAATATATGCTTTTACTATAGCTCTTGTCCACTGCTATATATTATTTAATTCTGACATTTATATGTGCTATAATACAATATTGAAAACAAATATTTAGTGCTATGATAGAAGTATAGATAAGTTTTTTTTATTTGCTATTGTATATGTTTTCATATTGCTATTATATGGGTTTCCTGAGAATAATTATAAATTTTTCATATAGCTCTAAACATGAACACATAGAAATAAAAATCATTTCACATAAAGTCTGATTCCATATCCTTAAGAGTAAAAGTTCACATAATCATTCATCATACATAACAGAAGTTCTAATCCAAAATAAAATACATAACACAAGTCATAAGTTGATGATTAGCTCTGTCTTAAACTTAATTAAAACTAGCTAACATGGACCAAAGTTACTTCATTCCCCTGCAAGAAGCAGTCTTATATCAGATTTGTGATATCATCAACAAATCAAGTTAAAGCACAAGCAAGACAGTATACATACCTCAGTTTCTTAAACTGATCAAAAGATGACCAACTTATCCATTGGCCATGCAATAGCTGAACCAAGTGCATCTCTCATGTACTCGATTTCAGCTGATGGCCTCCAAACAGCTGCATCATCTATCTTCACTATATCAACCCATACTCTAGCTGCATTTGAACCCAAGCGAACACAGTGGACCTTAATGTCTGGGTCGACTGAATTCACACGTCCTTCGGCGACAATCTGCTTCTTTCCACTAATATCCATCAACTTGCATTTTTTATTTTCTTTGATGACCTCAGCTCCCGTTTTACGCTGTCATGATTAAAAAACTAGTCAGTTTATAACAAAGAGATCTAATAATCACAATCACCTGCACAATATATCAAAAAGACTTACAGGAGATCTTCGAAGAGGGGCTATTAGTGTAGGTCGTTGACTTTGCTGGATAGGAGATTCTTGACCAGATGGTGGAGACTTCTCTGCAGGAGGTTTTGAGACTGTTGGACCAGTTTTCTGACATGCTGCAGCAGTTTTCTGACTTGTTCCCACTGATTTCTGAGCTGTTGCTGCAGATTTTGCTCCTGAACATTGCTGAGTTGATGCAGCTTTCTGAATTGGAGATTGCTGACCTATTGCATCTGTTGGGTTTTGAAAGACGACTTTGTTCACAGGCCATGATACAAATGTTTGTAGACAGTCCTCAAGGTATGTTACATCAATCGTAGGCCTCCAGATAAATGTCTCAGGTTGACATACCGCATCTACAAAGATCTTCACTGCATTTGGTCCCAGAGGTAGCCCATTTACTAAGGCATCACGATCTTGTGTCTGCCAACGCCCTTCAGCAACAACCACGTCATCTGCAGACAAATCCAGCAGCTTGCATTTGTTCATCGCTGAATTAGTTCTTTGGCTCTGTCAAACACAATCACAAAACATGATCATTGTTCCATAGATATAAATATTCCTATACTCATGAGGGTTAATAATAAACTTTACCAATTGTTCAATGTCTTCTGGTTCCTGCTCATTTTCTATGTTGACACACCTAGAGGCAGGCCAAGCAATCATCTGTCCGATAGCAGATTCAATTGTGCACATGTTAAGTGCAGGTTTCCAAAGATATGTGTCTGGTACTGTAGCAGTGTCTACCAAAACTTTGACATCCGAAGGGCCTAAGCGACAATCATTCACTAACTCATCTGGATCAGAAGTAATAATGCGCCCCTCAGCAACAATTGCATCACCATTACCAGTCCAATCAATCAAGATACACTTAGGTTGTGATCTTTTGTTTACGCTCTAAAAAATGCATAAAAGACTAGTTACTAGAGTTTCCAGAAACAAATAAAACATGCATTTGATATAAATTAAAAACTTACTCTAGCAGCTGAGTTTGAAGCAGCATCAAGCTCTTGTCTCTGCTACAAAAATAAAACAAAGTCAAATATAGTGTTATAATGCATCAGCTTAAACTATAAGTAGAGAAGTGTCTAACCTGGTTCTTTAATTTTTCAATTACATCTTCTAACTCATTGACCTTCAACAATAGATGAGTTTGCTTCGCTTCCATATCTGCCATACACTTGTTCTTCACTTGGAAACATGCTAATTTGGTCTTATTCATGTTTCTACCCATTGCCCTCATTCGACCAGGATTATCAGGTCCTAGTAGCTGGCTAAGTGAATCTTGGCCATCAAAACAAGTAGATGCTGCAGTATCACTTTTAACAATCTCAGCTGCCTCTCTCTGCTAATCACAAGATACAGCTTCAAACGTTATGATCTAATTCCAACACGCAGAACATAGTACAATAGTTTGTAACTCACAATCTTCTCAGCCGCATTTGTATTCACTGGTGTACCATCTTTTCTGGTACGTGACTTGATCCAGACCTTTAGCCTTGACACTTCACTTGGATTTGAACTCTCCTTTTTCTAATTCAGAACAAAATTTTCTTACAAATAAGTATTCAAAAGTAGTCAATGAGAAAAAAACATGCAACATAATTGTAGTATGTTTACCATATCTTCTGCTAGTCTAACCATTCCTTTGCGGCTAGTGGTGTGAGGAATCTGTTTGCTCCTTCGTTCCTTATAGCTATCACTTACAACCTAACAGAGAAATGTTTGTATGTAAAATACTATATAGGAAATAAACTTAGCTAAGTACAAATGATTACCTTAAACTCTTTGCTAGTTTTGATTTTGACTAGTTTACGCCACTCAAATGGAGAGACATTCTCAAATATTAGTTTACACAATTGTGTCGTAATTGAGTGAACAAAATACTCATCTATGGTTCTATGTATCACACTTATATTGTGTCGAATCTTTGATGTATGAGCATTTGTAGGCTAAGATGAGAGTTTGTAGCTAAGATGAGAGTTTGTGTTAGTCGTTTTGTAACAAAAACAAGAACAAGAAACATAAATGGTTTTACCAAAAAAAAAAAAAGAAACATAAATGGATATGATAAAGAGGAACAAATAAGAAGAATAAGGCTCATACTCAAGAGCTAGACCTTTTTTTTTTTTTTTTTCGGATTAAAGATGTTACACCCAATATAATGGTGGTTACGGATTCATGTCCAGATCATTTCGAATGATTTTGGGAAATTAAGAATGAATGAGTTTCGATAATTTTTTTAGTAATTGAAAAAATTTATAAATTTTATTATTTTAAAATTATTAATTTTGTTCAATAGGATAATTTGAAATTTTGAATTATCCCATTAATTACTAACCCATACTTTTACCTATTACAAATATATTTTGCCCCAAAGAAATAATATAATTTCTAATTCTATTATGACCTTTGTCTAGAAAGTTCTGATAATGCGGATCGGGTAGGGCTGGGTGGGTGACCCGACAACGCAGAGTCGCAGAGGCCAACACTATTTACTCAACAAAATTGGATAAAATCAAATGAAACAGTGTCCTTTGTCTCTAGCAGTCGCTTTCGAGTGTGTGTTCTCTCTCTCTCTCGTCACCGTCCTGCGACTCCTCCGGATCATACATTCTCGAGGGTCGTCACCGAATTCGACGGTTCTCACTCTTACATTCGAAAGTTTCCGTCTTTAGTTCGTGCCGTTTCACATACCCGTCAAGGTTTTGCATTTCATCACTGTTGTAATGTGTTTTCTCTCCTCTCTCTTAGTTTTAGAAACTTTTACTTCTCTTTAATGGAAATTTTGTCGTAACAAGGATGGTTTTAGGTTAATGTTTCTATAAATGGCGATCGAAAGGTCTGACCTTTATTTGTTTGTTTGTTTGTTTGGTTGAAATATCACAGGGTCTAACTTAGAATGGAGGATGACAATGGAAAAGTGAAGGGTTCGAGTAAAAAGAGGTTGAGAAAACCTAAAAGTTTGGAATTTGTTGGATGGGGTTCGAAAAATCTCATTGAGTTTCTTCAATCACTTGGTAGAGATACCACCAACAAGATATCTGAGAATGATGTTACAGCGATTATAATGAGCTATATCCGCGAGAAAAACCGTGAAACTCCTTCCAAGAACAAGAAGAGGAGAAAGACAGTAGCTTGTGATGAGAAGTTGCGTTTGCTTTTCGGGACTCGGAAGATAAATGTAATCAAAGTTCCTGATTTGATAGAGAAGCATTATGTAGAGAATCAGGAAGACTCATACTTTGATTATCTATACTCTCCAGAGGATGATAAACAACAGAGATTGTCTCCATCAGATAAGGTGGCTAAACAGACGAAACAGGTTGTGTCAAAGCCTAAAGGTACTTTTGCTGCGATAGTGCGCGATAATGTCAAGCGCCTGTATTTAAGAAAGAGTTTAGTCCAGGAACTAGCAAAGTCACCTGAAACTTTTGAGAGTAAAGTGGTGGGGACTTTTGTGAGGATCAAGAATCCCTGTCAGCTTGTTCACGTGACAGGTAATTTCCATCTGAATCCTGTACATAGCCTAGTTGGACAGTCAAAACATCAACATGAAGTGTTTCACTCCAATGACTAAATTCTGTAACTTCTTATATTCTTATTCATTTGTGACTTCTTTTAACTATTTTATCACTAATCACATCTCTTATATAGTCAGCTTCATCAAATATATTTGGTCTGCTGTAGGAGGCTAAGTTGTCTTGTGTTTTGTTTTTTTGTTAACTAGGTGTGAAGGAGGGAAATCTGATTGATGGTAATCTTCTTCAGGTTACAAATTATTCGTATTATCTAAAAGATGTTACGACCTCTTCCCTATCAGATGATGATTTCTCTCAGGTAATGTTCCTAGAACCATGCGTGTTCCGCTTTTGTGCTTCTTATCAATGACAATCAAGACAAAAAGTTAGTCCTCAATATCCTAACCTTTTCTCTACGAAATTGAATAGTGCGCAAGATCTTTGTTCCCCCCTTTGAGCGTAATTTTGATTGTTTGTGATTTCAGACCATAAGTCCTCAGGTAGCCCTGTGTCTTGAGAAGTGGCTATTGACTGATCTAATTTTCTAGTTATCTGAAGATGTACTATCTTATGCAATCTTTCTTGTTTAGATAACGGCTAGTCACAACTTTGGTTTTACTTGACATATAGAGTGCTTCCTGTTTATGATTTATAATAGCTTCATGTTAACTTTGGCAGGAGGAATGTGAAGAACTGCATCAAAGAATAAATAATGGCTTTGCTAAGAGACTTACAGTTGTAAGTTTCTTAATCTATTAAGTAGCTAATGGTACCTTAGTTTCTTGCCTTGTTGTCTTTAGAGCTTTCTCTACTAACATTTACTCTTGCTAGTGGCTCCCATACTCTGTTTATTATAGTGGTTCTGATTTATTTCAGTTCTCTAATCTAATCTACTCTAACCATTGACAGGTGGATATGGAAGAAAAGGCTCGAAGTTTGCATGAAGATGTGACAAAACATGTATGTTTGCTAACTTAATCTATATTTGATATGATATCAAATATCTTCCCCATTCATTGCTGCATCTCCTATTTATCTCACATCTGACAGTGAATTCCAAGATCACTTTTGCAGCATAGTACTTTTAAGATAATCAAAATCCTGGTTGTTATGTCAGATTGTGTATGAAGCTGCAAATTGTTATTCAGAAAAACTGATTTTCATAACTAACAACTTTTGCGAATGTCTTTTAGTGGATTGCAAGAGAACTTGTAGTGTTACAAAGGCTTATTAATCAGGCCAATGAAAAGGGTTGGCGAAGAGAATATCCTTTTATAAAGCATTATCAATATTAATATATTGTTTTTCTTTGAAGAGTAACTAGTGGAGAAGTGAGATTGAGACTCTTTCTGTTATTACTTTTTTCTTGACTTCCTAGCTATCACGCTATCCCAGTATCTGGAAAAAAGGGAGCTTCTTCAGAATCCGGAAGAACAGTTGAGGCTATTGGATGAAGTACCAGAAATTGTGGCAGAAGAACTTGAACCTGAATGTGTAGATGATGATAGAGAAATAGAAAATGACCTCATTGTACCAAACTCTGAGGCTCATCAAAGTGATGAAGAACAACGACGAAGAGATTCACCTGTTTATTCTAGTGTCAAGAAAAGTCTAGAAATTTCCAAGCTTCTTAAGAATCCAGAAGAACAGTTGAGGCTGTTGCGTGAAGTTCCCGAAGTTGTTGCAGAAGAACTTGAACCTGAGTTTGTAGATGATGATGGGAAAATAGAAAATGACTTCATTGTACCAAACCCTGAGGCCTTCACTGAGGCTCATCAAAGTGATGAAGAAAAACAACTAAGTGACTCACCAGATTCTAGTATCCATAAAACTCTAGAAAATTCCGAGCTCCGTGATGGAGAAGACCAGCCAATACAGACTGCTTCTGCAGGTGCGTACCATCCTTTTTGTAACTTCAATCCAGGTAACAAGGATCTCCATGAAGATGTGTACGAGCCGCCAACAAATGGCATCACACAGAACAAGGACTCTATTACTAAAGGAGAAATGAATACCAAAGTCAGTCAGCATCAGTCAAGTACTCCAGTGATTGATCTCTCTAACCAACCTCAAGCTCAATCAAATCCACTAGAGATTATCGAATTGAGCGATGATGAGAGTGATGATGACAAGGACAAGGATGATCAAGCTTACCAGAACTATGATCCAAAGAAGGTAATGTGGTTCTATGAATTCCCTAAAGGAAAAACACATGGACCATTCTCTCTCACAGATCTCAAAACGTGGAGTGACGAAGAGTACTTTGTTGGAGTTCCAGATTTCAAAGTATGGAAAACAGGAGAGAGTGCAGTGTTACTGACCAAACTTCTATCTCACATCAAAACCTAATTGAAGAACTTACAAAAAAGCTTAGAATTAAGTCTGAAAAGTGTGTAGTTTGTTTATTTCTCTAAAACAGTTGTTGCTGAATTTAGTGCACATAATGCAAAGATTCTGACTTTTGTTATAAAAAAAGTCTCCTCTTAAAATCTAATGAAGACATTATTGTTGAATTGAAGATTCCTTCAAATTATTTGAAAAATCATGAATCTTTTGCAAATATTATTAGTAGGTAACAAAAATAAGTAGTGCAATATTTATTTTAAATAAAAAAAAGGGAAATCATATATAAAACCCAGAAGTCAGCACAACACTTACCAGTCTAGAATTAAAAACTGATTGAGACAGACAGAGAGAAAGATTGCTTGAAGAAGACGAAGACAAAGGAGGAAACTTTCTTCTCATTTCAATAAAAAAACCCATTTTTTTCTCTGGGTTTTTCTTTCTCATGTGATTGCGCAATTGCTTCTTATCGTTTTCTCGCAATCATTACCATTTCTCAAATCAACACGCTCAATTTCCGTTTTTTCTTAGAAATTTCCTCGGAAAATTTTGGTTGTTCCTGTTTCATTCGTGTGAGATTTGATTACTTAAACGCTCAGATGAAGTCATGATAATTAAGAAGCACAAGAGAGAGAAAATTAGAGGAGTCCTTTGGTCAAGTTTTTGGGGATTTGATTGGGATTTAGTCAGCTTCGAAGTGAGGAGCTGAAGATGGAGAACGGCCATGAGGAGAGATTGGCTGAGAGATTTTCCGGAGTGGGTCTTGAAGATTCTTCTCGTTCGGCTGAGAACGAGTTTAAGAACGACAACTTGTTTCAGGTCATCAAAGCTGTTGAAGCAGCAGAAACCACCATCAAGGAGCAGGTCTAGTTCTCTCTCTGTTTCTTTATTTGAAATTGTTTCAACTTGTGGAGGGGGAAGAAGTACTTCCTCCATCAATCCATTTCCCGGAGTGCTGTGTAAATTTCTGTATTGATGTCTGCTTTATTAGAGATATAGCTGTGAAATGCAAGGTTTACTAAGTCTGGTTGATGGATAGGGGATAATTAAGTATCTGGAGTGTTGGATCTGTCTCTCGTTTCTTAGCATTTGCCACTGCAAGATAATGGTTTTTGTTTGTCATCGAAGTATTTTGGGCATCTAAGACTGTGTTTTTATCCTCTAAGCAGGTGGAGGAGAATAGCCGTTTAAAAGCTGAACTTCAGAGAAGTGCTCTGGAACTGGCTAAATATGTAAGTAATTGTCTAGTTAAAGGAAAAGAGAGGATCTCTGATTTTTGTGCTGTCTTTATTAGATATCTGTATTTCGCAATTAGTGAGGATCCTTTTCCTTAGTTATGGTGATACTTCCATGGTATGCGTTTAGTAGCTCGTAGATCATATTTGGTAAATTTTTGATTGGTAGTCTTGCTCTTGTTATCTTGCCTAGAAATCAGATGAATTCTTACCCCAAACTTCTAATCTCGGAGATCACTCAAATTCTACCACTGTGTCCAGCCTGGTTCACCAGCCAGTTGACTGGAAGAAGAGTGTGGTGGTCAAAGCTTCAGATGCTGATTCATCAGGCTTGCTGGTTGTTCACCCCCATGTGAATGCTAATGGTGCAGAAGCTACTGTGAGTAATCGTTTTGAAAGCCACTCTGAAGGAAATATAATTAATGGCATTGTCAGAGGAGCTATTGATGGTGCTGGTCCCTCTCAATTTGATTCGTCATTATCTCCTATGAGGTACTGGAACACAAACTACCACTCTGGCGTGTGCTGATTGTACTTGTCAATCTTATGGCTTAGATGAATTTGAATAATTCTCAAGATCTGATATCTGCTAGAATGCGGTTGGAAGGAGAGCATGTTGCACACGTCAGTTCGTCTACTCATGGATCTATGCCAGTTGATGAAGTAAATCATTCAGGCAATGCATGGAAGCAGGTCTTCATCATACTTACTACGCCTTGGTTTTCCTGGTGTAAATGAAAAACTGTTAACCTGACTATGTACCTATGCAGGACCTCATTCACAAGGTCCAGGAGCAGGAACAAGAAATTTCGCACTTGAGGAAATATCTTACTGACTGTTCTGTTAAGGTGAGTCCTGTTCGACATGGGAGATTTCTAGTCATTATTGGGCTTTTATGTTACTAACTTTTGTGGTTCCTTGGGATTTGTTTGTGATTGAGTCAGGTTTCTTTGGTTGCTTATGGTTTTTCTCTTCTTGTTTGCCCAAGTGAACATAACAAGCATTGAAAATCATCTATGGTTTTGATCAATAAAAGTTTGTCATAAACAGAGTATAATATTCATGGGAAAAGATAGATTTTCTGCTACTTAGAAAGACCTGCATATATCTTACTCTGTTTCATCGGAGAAACGGCAAACTCCTATTGATCCAAACCAAAGATAATCTCTTCAATGATTTATATGTTCACTTCGAAAGGGCACAAAACAAGAGCAAAACCCGAAACAATCAGCTCAACCACAAATAAAGCCCAGACGACCATAAGAGTAAATGGCATAATAAAATATGTAGTCATTTATGCTTTCTGTTGTTTCATCCCTTGCATTCTTGTTAATTTTATGCTAAATTAGATGACTAACATTTTAGTTATTTTTTAGGAAGCCAAAATTCGCAATGAAAAATATGTTCTGGAAAAGCGAATTGCCTACATGCGTCTGGTTGGCCTTTCTTGTTTTTTTACTTATCTATTTTATACTAAATCTATTTAATTTTTTGTTTGAAAGCTCAAAGATTGTTGCTGTTGTAACCAGGCATTTGATCAACAGCAACAAGATCTTGTTGATACTTCATCAAAAGCTCTCTCTTACAGACAAGAGATAATTGAGGAAAATATACGCCTAACATACGCCTTACAGGTACTATCATTTTGTGTGTGTGGGAATACAGCAATAACTGTCTGTCTTCTGGTATACGCTTTAATTCCTCATTTCCTTTTTCTTTGGTAACCCTTTTTGGCTGGACACCATGAATTATTTCAGTTTCCACTCCAGTTTTCAAACTAGGATTTTTCTCTGGCCCCTCTCTTTCATCATGTTTTTGGATAACTACATACTGCAACTGGTATATATATATATCTACGCGAAATCTGGTTAATTAATCCAAGCAATGTGCTTTTTTCGGATTTTTTTCCAGGCTACACATCAAGAAAGATCTACATTTGTATCATACTTGTTACCTCTGTTATCGGAGTATTCTCTGCAACCACAGGTTTCTGATGCTCAGTCTATTGTTAGCAACGTGAAGGTCAGATCCAAAATCTGAAGTGCTGTCTCTCGCTATCTTTTATCTTTTATTATAACTTGTGTTGGAATCTTGCGTTTCTTGTTTTGTTATTCTGTTGCAAGTTCGGACCATCTCTAGCTCCTATCTTTTGACTTTAACTGTATACTGTAGCCTATTAATTTGAGAGGTTTTGTTGCACTGCATTAGACTTGACTTCAAAAGAGCCGTACAGCACCCTACCCTGGAAATGTTTCAAATTCACATCCTTTGAAATTCATGAACCAATAATGTAAAAAAATATTTCTTGTAGAATATTAAGTAATGGCCATGACTTGAGATCTCTTTCAGTGAAATTGGGGTATCCTATATCGATGATTAACGGAGCTTGGTTGACATAATTTTGAGCTCCATGGATAAGGAAGAATAAGCATTTGTTGTCTTATCTGTGAAATTTATGTGGAGTCATGGAGAACCAGAGAACATAGAAAATTTGGATAAGAAGTTAAATGACCGATTATATATTATACCCTGCGTCATTATATTTGAAAGTGAAGTTTTTCTTGCAGTTTTTTGTTAAAACTAGTGATTGGCGTTTACAGCTACTTTTTTTCTTTTCTTTTCAGGTTCTGTTTAAGCATCTACAAGAAAAGCTCCTTCTTACTGAGGTATGTTATCCTGGTATGGGCTTATCTGGTGTTAAATCTCAGTGTCTGCTTTATTTTCGACTGCAGTTTTTTTCCTAGCATTGAATTGACTGTATTTCTTACAGACCCATGATAGATGATTGTTTCTGATCTTTTTCTTGTACTAGACAAAGTTGAAGGAGTCAGAATATCAATTAGCACCTTGGCAGTCAGATGTGAACAACTCAAATGATTCCCCTTTGGCTCCATCGCGCTCAGCTGGTGTAGCATTAACCCACTCCGTATGTTCATATTCCTCAGTGTTATATCATAAGCTTGAGTGAATTGAATCTTAAATTACTTCTTGTGTTTTCACCAGACAAAGGTTTCCGTGTATTCTCATGATCACACAGCCATAGACTGGAATTTGGAGCGCCAGCAGCAAGATGAGCCAAGTAGCTCAGCTGTGAGGAATTACCATCTTGATGATTCTAGTACGTTTTCACCTCTTGTGAACAGGTGGGTTTGTCCCTGCAAAGGTTGATATTCCAAACTGTATGATGAAAACTACGTGCACCCACTCAATATTTATGAAATATACACATGTAGTTGCTAGAGCATTGTATATATCTATCCCAATGGATATAATAGGGTGGGGACTGGGGATACTTTATTTGTAAATCATCCAAGGAACTACAACCGGAGCATTTAGTTTCTTTCTCTTTCTTAGGGTTGGGTCTTAACTTAGCTACCGCGGGAAAAAAAGGAGTTAAAGCCACATGTTCATGTTAGGTAGGAACAAGTCCGTGACATCTTGGCCCTTTGTTTGTTGTTGACTCTTAAGTTTGTCTTACAAGTTATTTGATTTAATTTGGCTATGACTCTTGACTCTGGTTCTTGACTCTGACTGCTTTCTCTTGCCTTGTAAAACACGCTGAAAAGTATTTGATTTGATTTGGCAATGAATCTTGACGCTCGAGAATTCCTTGTTCTAAGCCAATAGTTAGTATCCCTCTTCTGACTCTGAGTGTTCATGACTTTTTCCTATGCTTATATTTTCTAACTTCCTGTTCGCTCTGGGCAATATGATGATTTCAATTCTCAAAAGTATCAGATTAGTCGTAGGCCATATAAGGTGCTGTTCTTCTTTATGTGTCTTATGTCTTGATCTGTCATGATGTGCCAGATCATCTAACTTCTTCCTGTTACGATTATGATCAATTTCGTAGTGCTCACTTGATTGTATGCACTGTAGTTATTGGTGGATAATTTTCTGCAATGTTGAACATAGTTTGATGATTAAATGCGTTT